ACGCGCATAATGTAGCCTCAGGATAATAGCAACTGCGGGAAGTTTATGGAAGCGAACTCAATAGTAGGACAAAATGGCGCACATCTTAGATATCTGTACGTACCTGATCACGCCGATGTTTAAGTACTAGAATGTGTTGTAGTGTGCATTTAACTCAGTTATATCTTTTGGCAGAAAATAGCTAATGTTGCAAATGTTCGTAAAACATATTGCAGTTTTCGCCCATACATGAACACCAATTTTTGCTTGTATTAATGGGTTCCATTTACTTTCAGCAATCAAAAAACACAAAAGTGCAGAAGCACGAATTCGATATCAACCATACCTGGGTAGCAATGACTTTGGGCACACTGCAGAATATTTAGGGCACTGAAAGTAGCGTCCATTGGCTAGAAATCAACAGGTGGGAGTGATTCATATCCACTTCTTAAACCAATGACAGTTGACTTTGCTTAACTGAGTTACATTGAAACTGAGCTAGTCATTTGCAATACATAAAACTAACTAATATGCTTTTCTAAATAAGTAATCGATGAAGTACACTCTTTAATTTCAGAATACATTCTAATGGGCCTTCTCACCATGGACTGGAATCCATGGTAGAAAAGAAGCGGTTGAATTCACAGTTTGTATTTTCACTCCGGTGAGTAACCTGAGTGTCTGCATTCATTCATTGCATACTTCCATGTTTTTATATTAGAACTATTGCAGTACTGTACATTTAAAAGATCATGCCAACCGGAGAATATATTCTTCGGTCCGCGCAACAGAAGTAGGTACTGCACATCAGCTGATCACAGAATTTACAGCCGAGCACGGGCTGCCAGCAAGCTGCAAAGAGATTTTTCGAAAGCCAGTCGTCGAACTGTACGCGAAGCATACACTGCGTTCCAAATAATCATCGCATGAACCATATATTTAAGCCTCCTGCCATATAAACAATACGTCCCTGTTTAAGAACAATATCAAACAACAATTTTCAGATAAATCCACCCAACAAGAGCAAAATCAGTACCAAAATCACATCAACTGCATTTGCCTAAACAACCAGCCATAACTAGAATCATTTAAACCGCGCAAACACCGACAAGGTGGAGCCGGTGGCACCACTACAAATGGGTGATATGCCATATAACCGCCCGGTGGTACGAGTACGTGAAAGAATTGAAAGATAGCACTTATCATGTTCACCAGATTCCGTTGATAAGGCGACATGCGCATATTCCAAAGGTTATCCTGTGCCTTCAAAGACACGTCAAATAAGTCTACAAGACCTCTGAATTGTGTCAAAAAGCACATTTAAGAGTAAATGTTTTGGATCCTTTTCCTTATTCTTCGGTAGTTAAGATGGGTAAATTCACTGAGAATGTTGAAGTATCGCAAAATTAAGTGAACCAATCAGGTACCTTCAGGCATCTATTGAGTAGTAATAGAGATTAGATAAGAGTTGAGTTTGGGTAGATGGGTTTGAAATTCAATCAATTTAGCGACGGGTATGTTAGCCTGGAGACAATAAAGGCATGTGATCTCAGTAGATGGCCTTCTGATTGATAGATTACTTAAGTGACTGCTAAATGTTTCGCATAAGTATTTTATTATTTTTTTTGATTTACAGCTTGATGAAAGTGTCAGTAAAATATTTTTACATAAAAAGATTAGCAATAATATCGATAGGGGATGAAATCTGAGCTCGTTACAAGCGAACAGGACTTCAACTTCGTTAAGTCACATATGGTCTGATGCAATTTCATTGCTTAAGTGACACAGCGTCATGTAGTGCAAGATGATACACCTAGTCACTTCCAGAGGATTCAAGCCAAACAGAACGATGGAAGATGTTTATAACAACCCAACTTCAAAAAGCACATCAGAATGCACAAGTAGAAGTATTTCGACTTAATAACGGCTATAGGGTTCACCCATATTGTCAAAGTCAAAAAACAAGGTGAAAACCATACGAGTGGTGTAACAAGCCTCTGGGTACTAACAAGTTTTCATCACAACCAATAAAAACCCATGATTGTTTGGAAGTTTTGTTCACATTACGGAAAATATGTGTCAACAAGAATTATTAAACAATTATAACTCCCAGAAATAGTAGGCACAGTTTTAGGGTGAGAAAATTCACTGATAGGCTGAATGTCGATTAGAATTTTGGTACCGCATGTTAGTGTCAGACAATGCTACTCAGAATCTTCGATCTTCGGCATGTCACTTTCAGAATACTGAGTTTCTTTGTGACTGATGCGCAGACTAAGAATACTCAACCACTGAAGGTTGTGTGTCGTCTTCCTAGCAAACCATATAAACTTCATAGTTTAATTGTCAGCCACTATGAGAAGGCCGACTCAAAGATTTAATACAGGCTGAAGCAAATTTTACGTATTTACTCTCAACACTGGGTATATGAAGCAGATAGACTTAGAGCACTTTATATTGCAAATGATGATAGCCTATGAAAATTTCAAATCCGGACATGCTTAGTAACTAACCACTTGAAGGATGAGCAATGTGTTCATTTCGCCGTTGGAGCTCAACGGAAACATTTTACACTGGAAGTCATCATTTGAACTATCTGCAAACAGGGCGCAAAATCAAATCAGCCACAACAATAAAACAGTTAGTATTCAACAAAATCTTGAGGCATCCTTTTGAGAATCAGCGGAAAAATAGGTTGAAAACAATATCCACATGAATAACTGGGATTTCAACTTATTTAATCGGTTCGAGTGGGAAAATTTGTGGTAAAAATCAAACACCGAATAGTGGCACTTACCTGCAATACAGTCCCCAAATTAATAGTCCTTCTTGCCACATGAGAAAAAGTCAGTCATAGCAGCAAAACCAGGAGTTTCTATCAATTAGTTCAACACAGGCAAAACAGACTCATTAAACGTTTGCTAACCAACCACACTAGTAATGAGGACACGACTTTACGGTTACTTCTCTGAAAACCAGAAGGAAATGTGCCGAACGGTCACCGCCATACATGTCCAGATAGCGCCTGATTAGAAACAACTTGATACAGAGCTTTGGAAAAGTCCATATATGTGCGGATCGCAAAGGAAATAAGAGGCAGTTCATTTAGGTGGTTTGAGACTAAGGTTTAAAATATCTGCCTTATTTTCGGCGGGACATTAGGTACCAACTAATATCATGCATTCATTTCTTCGTTTAATGCAGACCGAATTCCACTACTCAGGTTTTCGCGGTGGCCACCCTGCTAGGATGACCTGCCATCTCGGTGCACTATGAATTTTAAGTAGATAATTGGAGGCAGCTCTCTTCTTACCAGACTACAATCACATATTTCATCCCAGAAAAGGACAATAGCAAACCGGAATAGCTGAGTGGGAATTCTCTGACTGTATCACTGACGGACCAGCGTCAAAAATTCGGAGAGGGCATGTGTTGCTCCTCAAGATAGCAGATGTGCCAACAAGCACAAAATCTAGGTCCAAGGATTCCTGGCAGTCCCAGCAAACTATTGATCCAACTGAATCTTTTACGACGCGAAGCCATTGGCACGTAGGGAAGCTTCTCAACGAAAAAGTAAAATCTGAACTATCTAGTAGCATGTTTTCCATCTAACTTGCACATCGACTCACAGCTTTTTCATGGTGGAGGGTTCGGCGAATTCGTCTTCGTCGTTAGTCTAATGATCGTCACGATAGGGAGCTGTGTGGTCTTGGTTAATAAACTGAAGGCCACATGGCGTTCTTGGTTCGTCTGAAACTCTGCAGCCACTCAAATAATGTAGAAAAGATGAGAAATGTATACAAAGTTTTATGGGATTCATTCTGAGGAATATTCAAACAGGAGGTTATTTAACTAACGATTAATGTCAGGGTGAGACCAGTCTCTTCTAAGTGCAGACACAGTGTCATCTTGGGCCAATTCTGACGAAAAGACTGGCCACAGGCAACCACTGGGGAGAAGACCAGATTAAACTATCACACCCCTCCACTGCAATCACAGATAGCTAGATGCATTTTGACGCAATCTGTTCGTGTGGTTGTGCAAAACTTGTGCGTGCTGATGCTGGGAAGTCGATGACGATGATGAAGCTGGACCACCACTTCCGTGGAGATTAGCTAATCTTCTACAGGAAATCGAGAGAATAAAGAATCAAGCCATCAGTGGTCTGCAACACTGACTGTATTTATTACGGAAATAGCAATGTGGAGACCGAAGGGCAAACCCAAAGATTTACCATCAGGAAGCTCTGAATAAAGCTCAGCCTATGTATTTCCTCTTCCAATTTGTTACTTATGGAATTTCCCACCTCCTCACTTGACATCTTCCTTGTGAGCCGATAGATTCAAGGTGAGCTCTGAAAATATGCCAACAGTCGGAATAGGTAAAACTACCAGAGAAGCTTCCCAGATCGAAGAGAGTTTGCCGGCACTGAAAGCATCATAAACTTTTGATTCGTTTACTTAATTTCTACTTCCTACATCTCTCCGTACTTCATCATCGCCATGGTTTCTCATTTTCTCTTATTTTGTATCTTATCTGTCCTCCATACGGTTTTTCTTTTGTATTTTATACTCACTGTTTGGATCAAATCTACGTTGTTTTTAGAGCTCATCTAGAGGGTCGACAGATGAATCGAGACTATACCGAAAGAAACCATATATTGCAATTATAATAAACGGACTCCTTATTCTTAATGTATTCATTTGAGCGAAAACTGTCAAGAAGGCAGATCTTCTACGTAGCTATGTACTGCAGATCTAGCACTGTTGTGAAACACTGTGTAGACTTGACATCAAAGGAATAACTCCATGCTCGTTACAACGGTACTGCATACTGCTGCAGTTTTCACGGAATTTTCGAAAATTCAGTAATATGAACGAGTTCAAAAGCTTATTATATCATTCTTTCCACGGCAAAATTTCTTAAGGTAAGGATCCTATTGTGGAGGAAATATCTTATGAAACACCATTAAACGTTGACAGTTTAAATTATCTAGGTTGTTCTAATTGCCATAAGTTGGAGGCATTTGAACTTATTTTTTGTTACTGCGCGAAGCTGTTATGGTTTTTGCTTTTTGGAAGCGTCCTGCTAAATCTGAAACTCAAAAAATTTCGTGTGAAGGATGTACATCAGTATGTTTAGATTTTTAAATTTACACTTCTGAAGGATATAGAAGGATATCAATTTTCTCATGTGCGGTATGCGTTTATGGTAGCTGGCTGCGTTTTGACGGGTGGCCTTTTGCGGTTATTGTTCCACTGGTTTCCCCAATGGATGCTGTGGTGCACTCATAAAAGTTCGGAACTCCATGAGGCTCACAAGGTGAAAATCAAGGTTGGAATATACTTTTTATAATATTGTATTCTTCCTCTCCAAGGATATTTCAGGTGTATTTATACATAATATTGTGTATCCTTCATCAGAAAGCCCAAGGTTAGGTTCATATTGACTTTCATTATTTTCGCAATACGACGTTGGGGTTTTCCTCTTGTAAGTCTTCCATCTGTCTTTTCCGTTAGGTCTCTGGATAACTCTTCTGTAACGTCTTCATTGACTCTTGAAGACCAGACAAAGCACCCATACTTTATACATAAAAAATTAAAGTATATTTGGAATTTCGAGAACGAACAATTTGAAGTACTTCAGTAAGTTTATTGCATTCATTTAACCTATATAGTAGGGCGAGTTTAATTAGACGTGTGCCATAATTGACTGATGACTTCTTGAGTATTCTTGACTTTCTGGGATGAATCACTTCAAGGTTGTAAGCAGAGATCTTAATGTGTGCATAGATCGGATATATACCAGAGAATACAACTAAATTTCGAGTTGTACCTTTAAATGACTGTCGACTTTTCCTGATGGCTGCATTATTCAGTGCTTGTTGTGAATAGAAAGATATTCGAGTTCACCGGTCACCATTTGATATAATTTAATAGTCTATCTATTCATGATAAACACTCTTCCTCAGACATTCTTCAAATTAGTTGTTTGATAAACTAAGTGCCTGGTGAACAGTCCTGTAACATTATCATTTGCACAGCAAGCACTATCACAATGAAATATATGCTGGCATCTCGATCGTTTTGCTACTTTTGTGCCCTTAATATATTGACATTTTAATAACCTCTTGTAAGCTGTCTTCAAATTTAAGATTCATGTAAACAAGTACCAAGCTAATGTAAGATGACCTGCTTTTATCACAAGGTTCTTGAAAAATGGTAGTTAGTTATTGCATGAGGTTAAAGTGCATCTCAAAGCTGACAGTGACATTAATTTTCTGGTTCTTCTTATATCACAGGAACTGGGATGAACGTTCGTATGATGAAATTCTAAACGCACAGGCTCTGGACTCGGAATTGATCGAAACCCGCCGAGATTTGTATGGAATTAATAAAATTGATGTCAGTCTTACTCCTATCGTAAGGCTTGTTTTGAATGGGGTAAGTTGCCTTTGATGATTATTGGCATCATCATTTGTAAGGTATTTTAAGTTATCTGTGGCTTTACTTAGTTTGAAAATTTCTTCCTTTAAAGATAACCTAAACTCAAGCCTACTGTGATGCTTTACTGAAACTTGGTTATAATAACTCATATTAATATCACTGAATGTATTGAATCAGTTGTCTGTAATAAGTATTACGCTCGAATGGAGTCCTTGGGCGTATTATTAATCAGGTGGTACTGATAACTTGTAGCTTGCCATAAACTGACAAAAACTATTTCAATATTTGGAAGGATCCGCGAAATTGTTAGCATACTTCGAGTTGTGGCGAGCGAATTAGACATGTATTGGACACTATTCTAAGCCTAAATAATTCACACTCATACGATGTTTTTATGAAATGATTCAGTGGTCCTCCTGAAGTTGGGCATAGTACTTTATGTGGATTAATCAAAATTAAACGTGTAAAAGTTATTTTGTATGACAGTCAGGCTTAAAAATTAACGCATTTTGTGTATGAGTTGTGGCTACTAAATCTAGCAATCATCGCGACTTTAGTATCCCAGAATTCTAAATTTCGATGTTACCACTGGGAAATAACAGTTTTTTATTTCACTTTATTTTATTGCTCTTTCTTAGTGCCTTACTCCCTTCCACTGTTTTCAAGTATTCAGCTGTGCAATTTGGTTTTGCGTCGAATACGAAATATATGCCACTTGTATTGCTGTTTTTTCCGTAACTTCACTCATATTTCAAGTTTACGAGCTTCGTAAAGTAAGAAACGTGTAATATACCCCTTTTGCACATTATATATATGTATTAATTGTGAGCTATCTTATTTATTTATTTTATTATTTACGACAGTTGCTTAGGATAACGTTGCATTTCATGGTGAACTTTGCCGTTGCCACTTATCGTCACATGTAATATGTATTTGCAGAGAAGCAATTAAATATGCAATTGTTTAACACTTACGTCCTACTGAATGCATATTTTAAGGTTCTTATATAGTGACGGCTTTTTTTATTGAATCGCCAGAAATACGCTGTTTTCCCTTTGAGGACTTGAGAAAACTTAGCCTTTTTAATTTCCCTACCAATCTACTATGTGGAGACTTACAATACAGATGGAGATATTAAAACGAAAATTACCATAGTAGAAGTGTTTCTCAATTCTGGCTATTTTAAAAACGTAATAATTTGTTTTAAAGTTTTGAAAGATGAACTTAGAACCGTAAATTAGTTCTCTGCAAATTATTTAATGGGTTGTCATTGTGTGAACTGTGTAGACTACACTGGTTTTTATGTGATATTAACAAGCAAGTTTAACGAATAATAGAAAGATTTCGGTCTATTCGCAGGATTATTTTATTACCTATTTGTAGTCAAGTTTTTCATCAACATACTGTTAATTTGGTGTTGGCTGGTATTCTTTGGTTTATAGATTATAGGTGCAAATTTTAGGTAGCAGGAGAGATGAATTACATCACTACTCTTTGAGACTTTAGTTCACAGCTCACTGCGGATTTTTGTGTACCACAAGTTCTCAAAAATTAACCCGAACCTTAGGTGTAGTTGAATAATGTAGTAAATAATTTACTGTTAAAACATAGTGAAAGGTTTTTCCGTTACTTTTGCTTTGTTAATCAGATGAAATCTGAGCATTTTGAGATTATAGTGTGATGCATTGGGACTGCCAAATTAGCAGCATTGTCTCTTACTTCTCTTTCGGTAATTTCGATAATGAATAGTCGGAATTGCTATTCTTGCATGATAAGTAATCTCCACAGCATTAATACATTTCTTCCGAAAGTCGAGGTTAGGTTAACGTTAACTGTTTAAAAAACAGTAACGATATAAAACAGGCTATTTTTACTTTGCTTTGTTTGAATTTACGGGCCACATCTTTTAGTATCATAATAATCATTCCTTACTTTCTACGAAATTTCCTACATTTTATGCAGCAAATGGGTACTTCTTATATGTATATAAGATCAGTTTTAGAGTTATTCAGCGGTACATTGGTTGAATTAGGTATCAGACGATGATTCTATATTAGCTGTTGTACTGACTCTTAGTGTTTCCGAAGGCTTCATTGAGTGTACTTAAATAAAAATGAATGGGGTAATCTTGTTTATTTCTAATCCTTTAGTTTTTATAAACTTCCTGCTGCATTTTATGGGTTCATTTTCATTCCCACACATTATAGTTGCCACACTTAAAGCTTACTAACATATTTACCTTAACTTTTTCAAGTTCGAATCATGTTTGATGCGCTCAATGTAGAACTGCGGTTCGTTAAAGTGAACACTCTGATTCAAATTAGAGGTCTGTGATTTGAACCTTAACCGAGATTCGGACGGTTAGGTAGCACCATGGTCATGTGCTTCATAATAGCCACCAGTGCAAACATAATTACTGTGAGAAATATATAATGCAGTTTATTCGTAAGCTGTGGATTAAATTCGATATTGGTTTTGAATCATGTGTTTCGGTTTTTGAAGCTAGTCAGGCTGCTCATTAGAATGCATTATAGCTAAGCTCTTTTTTCTTTAAATGTTAGATGGTAGGTTAATAATTTATTTTAAATGCTAGTTCTGAGTAAATTACACAGAAATCTTAAAAATGCACTTGATAAATTTAGAATGAATGAGGTATTTCTGAAATCTAGTGAATAGCATTAGCATGAATAATCAACTAGAAAGTGTAGGACACACTAAGTAGGTTTTTATTTATGAACAGTAGTAAATTGATAATGTATGTAGGAAGTGATTATTACTAAATGTGAGCAAAACGTTTAGCTCTATTTCTGACTTTAACGGTCATAGTGACTAAGTTCATGCATTCGAAAATTTGATTCGAACATAGTGAATAGTCGTTAGGCAAAGAAATAAAAATTCTTTTACTGAATAATAGTTTGCACACTTATCTTCTGAAAATTGGCGTGATTTTGTGTGAAAGTCGTACAAACTACTTTCACACGAAACTGGGTGAAACTTTAGACTGACTGTTTTCACTTTACCTTTTAAGTCAGTGTTGGATTTTCTGAAATTTAGCGAGTTCACTCATCAAATTACTGAGATTCACTACTGCAGTTTGTGATACCACACAGAAAGAAATAAACAACCAAATAAGCAAAATATAGACAAACGAATAGCAACAAAATTTCGAGAGAAATAGTCAAACATTGGCGCATTATGGTGATTTTGCAATTCATTAAAACTGTGTGTAAAATACACATTAGTTCCTGTAGGAATTCATTATTTTGATGAGTCTCACTTTCGAAGTTGAACACGCTTGATTTCAGCTTGAGAAGATGCATATTGTGTCTGAAAATCTACATGGAAGTTACCATTTTAAAATAATTTATGCATGACTGTGTTACAGTCAGTACTTGGTGAATGTTTATCGAATGAAATAAGTTTTCATCGTTTATTTTACAATACTTAATGAAATTTTCATACTGTTATTATTTGTTTTATTCAAAGCATAAACCTGGTACACCATGGCACCAAGAAATACACTACACAAAGTAATTTAACAACAATATGAGGAGAAAAATGAAGGATAAGAGAGTGATATACCAACAAAATGATCGAATAAGCATTTTAATAGGTTACATGAGAGAAAATGTTTGTCACTTTTGTTTTACTTATCAATAGTAGAAGGAACAAGAAAGCTCCAGCATAACTGCCACTGGTTTCGATTTTGAACTGTATCTTATAACTCCTCAACTCGCTGGATTACAAGATCCTTCAGATCCCATCAATAAAGTTGTGATTAATCGACCTACACTATTTCAACACAACTACCTTTCATCACATGGAGTCATCTTGTGGGCTGATCAGTTCTTCGTTTCTTCCAATTAGTCCCAGGGTCACCCAAAATTGATATAAAAGCCGCTTGGACAATATGCATTATTTATGGACAAATCAATATCCAAATAATTATATACAATTGGAAAAATACACTACCTCAGGTTTCCAAATATGCATAGAGAGTGTTCATCAGTAATAATAGGTTTCTGAATAAAATACATCTTCGTGGAATGTAATCTGAAATTTCTGTGAACCATTTAGGTAACTCTTACTCACTTAATCCTTTAAAATCTTAAGTTTTTATGATGTCAGTAGTTTTAATGATCAGACAATCTTTATCAATAAACGGCAATAATAAGCATCCTTTATTATCCATTAATTATGCAGAATGAACGTGCGTTGAAGGAAACTGTTTGCATTTCTTCTAAAGTCAGTGTTTGCAGACGCTGTGGTGGTGAGGAAGGTAAGTAGATATAACTTGCATGGTTCCTATTTTATGATCTAAATATTAAAGTCATTTCATTTTCACCACTATCTATATTTTACTACTTAACAAGGTGTACATCAGTCATTCTATCAACTAATTTTAAAACATGCACAGAACTCATTTTTCTTTGTATCTTTTTCTGCAATCGCGAGGTAAAAGGCTTACTAACTAGTTTAGCTTAGCATACTAAGCTCTTTGCTTTTCAGCATAGTTTTGCCCATCAAATATATATATATATATATTATATAATTCCTTATAGTCAAATTGTTATGAATGTTTTTGCACAAGTGAATGAGGACTAACTCCTGGTATTTGAGCAGCGGGACGTTACTATGCTTATTTATTTCACCGACACTTTTAATGGTCACATGAAAGTAACCTTTGCATTTGGTTCAAGTATTTATTTACCTTACCGAGAAATAACTGCAGAAAAATAGTCATGGTGAAGAGTCATTTCTATTGGTGCGCGTAATAAAACCTAATCATTAATAAAATATGAAATACATCTTAGCTACACTTAATAAAGGCAACTCTACGTAGGCACGGTCTGCTGTCTTAATCTACTGTTGTAAAAAAGTTACCAACCGATTGATAACTGTGTTACGTAAGGCATTTGACTTCATGTGTTATGTTTTGGTGCACAGTTCTAAGTTAGGCTGTAAATGCTAAAAGTCATAAAAGGGTTCCTTAAATTCAAGTTCTAAGTAAAGTTAGACCTTAATCGATTCTGTTTTACAGACAGAGTCATTTGAAAACGTGACAATTTATATATTTGGCACAAAAAATTGAAAAACTTTGTGCTATACTCCATAACTTTAAATTTCAATGGAATGTTATATATTATTTATGGTTTATATTTAATCCTGTGGAAGACAGTTATTCTTTGTTTTTAAGAGGTCATACATTTTTTCGCGAAACATTTTATCGACCATGCTTACTTGAACTATGCAAAGCATTTTTCTTCCAATAATAAAGCAGTTTTCATGACTGAAAATAAGTTACTGGATAACTGTAACCTTCAAAATACCAAGTACACCACCTCACATCATACTTATGTTACAACATAAAAAGTAGCAATAGCTGTAGTAGCTTTGATTATTACAAATGAGATATTAATTCCATGTTACTCTCTACTAAATTACTGTACAATCAGCACTTAACATGTTTAACGTCTGTGTTGAAGGAGTCGAAGTTTCGACCTCAGAGTAATTTATGAAGAAATTATCTGATTTAACACGATACGTATGGTGTCTTTCGTCATCCATTTCCTGCCTTATTATCCCTAAGACAAGTGGTCGAAATTTTCATTTTAGCCTGCACGCATTTGTTGTGATTCAGGCGTCTCTAACGATAACATTTACGACCAAAACCACCATTTTTTACAGTATATTTTGGAATCTGCAAACCATAGTGTCTGCCAATATCTTTTGGTGGGCCTGCGTGAAATCAACTGATAGCTAATTGTTGAATGAGTCGTATTTGAAGTCGGTCATGCTTAAATACTTTTCCTATGTGTGTTTTAAAGTACTCGTAATCTGAACCTGATTGTTAAAGGTTAGGATGAAGAATGTCTAGCCTGACATATATGCTCGCATTCTCATAGTTGTACTTATAAAACCTATACACACAACACCACATTCAGAAGTTTTCATTGTTATGGCCGTAAAATTTTTGTCACAACAACATTCGAGCTGTTCGTTTTTAGGTTGTTGCCTTTAATTATTAAGTGTTGATTTGAAGGAAATTGATTGGCTATAGGACTGATTCCAGTTGTTTGCATGATTTAAACTTTAATAAAGTTCGGCTAGGTGGCAGTTGATATGATGACGGAAACGCAGTTAAGCATTCTGTGTAACACATTTCGTCGAATAAGGTGGGTAGTGAGCTAATCCTGACACAGTCAAGGTTTACTATCATATTCGACACTCAAATAAGAATATGCGGTTTTGCTATTTTAATTAACTTCACCATAGGACAGCTCTTATGAAAACATTGTTGGTCTTGTTGTGTAGCGGGCGAACGTGATGGATTTTAATTAGGGAGTTGTTAGCATAAATAAGTACACATATCTCTTCCGATGTATATCCTTAATGCGTTCAAATGTTTTTAAGTTTTATAGTTATTCTGTCACTCTCAGATTCAGCAAAACATGCAATCATGGTAAACCGAAAGGAATAGTCATAGAAACAAACAAGGTGATATTCCAAGCTACCGTTTAAATTCTTTCACTGCTTATTTGTGCGACGTAATTTATTCCAGCATTTAGATATCAGTCACGAGAATACCGCATAAATATATGCTAGCTTAATGTTGTCCGATCTCTTCAAATGGTTTGGTACTTGAAAGTTTATGAACAGCACTATTATTCTTAAATGCACACTATTTTACTGGGAAGAGCAGTTTTAGGGAACAGATGCTGTTAGTTTTAGCTGCGCTATACTGGAAGTAATCTGCTGTTCTTTTACTGCCAAACGGAGGAGGAAAAGCTACACATACCAGTTATCTAGTTTACTATCAGTAAATTTTTAATTTCGAAGTAAAAATAAAACCTTTTGTTTTATTTCTTATTTTTAAATAATCAGATTTTGAATTAGTCGACTCAACCGAATTGGTACCAGGTGATTTAATTGCGATTCCAAGTAGTGGATGTCTGATGCAATGTGATGCAGTTTTGTTAATGGGCAATTGTATTGTAAATGAAAGTAGCCTGACTGGTATGTCTTTAAATTGATCATATTTAAATTTACAAGATGTAAAGTCAGAATCATTTTGGTTCACACGATCTGTCATCCATTCGAAATATTGTGATCTTATTTACTCTTGAAGTTTCAGAATGAATCTTGTTTTGAGGATAGTTTGTTATCAGCACATTTTCATTATAAACAGGGTTGGTAGTAGTAGTAGAAGTATTAGTAGTAGTGGGAATGCATATATTATATATCATAAACTTTAGTTTATTCCAGTATACTTCCGACAAAACCTAATTGATATGTAGATTTTTGATAAGATATGCCAATTACTAGGTCTTTGCTTCAATGTCTGTTTCGACATGATGGCTATGTCAGTGGCTTAATGTTCACTTATGACATATGACAGTTCGACAATCTTATCTGGGTACAATAAAATGAACCTTTTGTATTGATTTCAACTGATCTGACCTAACGACACAGTGCGAACCTTTAATCTACTGTGCAAAGGATCGTATCTTACTGGGTGGAGTCTTATATTGACCAGAATAATAATTTTGCTGCTGTTAATGTTCACAAAATTTCATCTAGATCAAACAAACAGCATATATTACTTAAACAACAATTGACGACAGATATTTTGGTAATTTATGGTGTTTTCAGAATATTATTAACTGCGATTAATCCTTCACCTGTTCGCTGTCAATTTCTCTTGTTTGATAATGATCTCCAGATCACGTATTGATTTGCTTTCGTCTAACTCAACAGACAGATTTGGAAGCCAGTTACTACTTTGGTATTTAAATTTCTAGCAAGAAATTGGTGGGAAAGATTAAGCGAGAATTAATATTATTATCAGTATTGTTACAATAATGATAATATTACGGTAATGTGAGAAAATGTGGAGAAGTGATTTTAGCTGTCAGCAAGGTGTCTGCATGCCTAACGTTATTATTTGTTTCGTATTTTTGTTTAAATACATTTAAAACAGAACTCATTGTAAATGGTCCAGAGTAAATTTGTTAAAATATGCAAGTTGATTTGTATTTTTAAAATACTCTGTAATATACCTTTTTCTCCGAAACTAGGTGAGAGTGTTCCAATTACGAAAATCCCTTTACCTAGTTCACAATACAAGAACGTACCATTTGACTTTCGTTCCTCTGCACGACATATCCTATTTAGTGGGACATCTATAATTCAAACACGTGGGGATATCAACAAGCGTGTCTTGGCTGTAGTCATCCGAACAGGATTTATGACTACTAAAGGTGAACTCGTACGGTCTATTATGTTCCCTAAGCCTATGAAATTCAAATTTACTCAAGATGCATATCAATTCTTAGGAGCTCTTTGTGCAGTGGCGCTTGTTGGTCTCGTTGTTTCCGTATACTTAATGGTGAGTTGGCGTGTATAGTTTTATTTTTTAGCCCTTCTATCTCTTATTTCTACCATCGCATTTACTAGACCGATATTTTGGTAATAAACTACATTGAATGATATGTAACGCTTTTCAAAATGTATCTGTAAAATAGATTATCAGACTTTCTGATGTTCTGACTGTCTAGGACAGTCTTGGGTTGTCAATCTATTTTTTATATAATGAATAATGACTAAAGGTGGACTGAAGATCTAGGTGTCTGGCGTTCTACAAGATCAGGTTATCACTGCACTACAGTTATCACGATTTATATTCACCTGTCATAAAAAATAATTAGGCAACTGTTAGTGGGTTTGTGTATTTCTAGTCAAATCAGTTGTACGATGATCATTATTAGTCTGAGGTTATTAATTCCTTACTTAATAACTTACGCATTCCAATATTTGTATTGATTGTAGATAAGACTATTTTTTAAGTATGAGACTTTACTTTAAAAACCAAGAGGGTATAACAGTACTATATGAGTATGAGAAAATGAGGATAAAAAGTAACAGCAGTAAAATTCTAATACATTCAAGTATGCAGTAGTAAATGATTTTTGTTAGTAAGCAGAAGTACTATCCAACAAATTTATGAAATCATTCTTTTTAACATGGTAATTGGTGTTCATTTTATCAAATCAGTAACCTAGGAAACATGCTGGCAACTTCGATAAACTGTCACTTTACAGTCATGATGTTTACTATTTCTGCTGGGAGATATGTTTTGGACAAATGTAACTATACATTCTACCTAATTCTATGTGCATATACATATGGGTGCAGTTTTATTTTCAGACTTTCAAATGTAATAATAAAATAGTAGTTCTCAATTTTCTACTTTCTGAGAATACTTTTCCCTTACATTTTATTAGTACTGGAATAAGAAAGACCTATACTACATAATTTTGAGGCCATTGGATTTGGTGACTATCGTAATACCTCCAATCCTTCCAGTGGCAATGAGTGTTGGAATCGTTTTCGCTCAACGTCGACTTCGAAGTCATGGCATATACTGTATAAATCCAAGTGTTATGAACGTGTGTGGTGTCATTAATCTCACCTGTTTCGACAAGGTATGTAAAGTGTATCAAATTTCTCTATATTCTCCAGCGTAATCAGTTTGCTGGAAAATTATGAACTATACTATTGCCCTTCTATGTATTCTCTTTATTGTAGTTCTGACTAGGCCTTTTTTAGATTATAGAGCAAATATTCATTATTTACGTGATGATATTTTTTGCTCTACCATCAGTAACAATTTAGATCATAGCATTACAGTAAAATGCCACGTAAATATCTTACTTCAGTGTGTCGCACTTTTGAAAAGCCGAGATAGTAATTTGACCGTTCAGAAAAGTAGACAGAATTCATGAAGAAAGGATGAATTGGTTAATGATGAATTTTTACGAGTTGATCACGGATTGATATCAGTTAGAGAACCATTGAGAACCAGGGAGTACCGGATAGCTGTTTCATCCTACTTTGGGAATCACCAGTAGTACGCACCCACTGGGGTTCGAATCCAGGACGTTCCGGTTACAAGACAAGCTCGTATACCATTCAGTCACTGAAACCCGAGACGATAGCTCATGAATTCCAACTTCTGGGTTCGAGCCGCAGTGGGTGCGTACTGCCAATGATTCCCAAACTAGGATGAAATAGCTGTCCAGTACCCCCTGGTTCTCAATGGTTCTCTAACTGACATCAATCCGTGATCAACTCGTAAAAACAAAACTAATCCTTACGAGCCACCTATAGAAAATAATAATAAATTTGCTCTGTGCCAATATACATCTATTATTTATTGCAGAATGATTGGTATTGTTCTTTAGCTAAAGTAAATATTATTAAGACCTGACGAATCTCATCTAGATCCTGAAGTACCCTACACAATAATCTGTTAGCCAACTACTTGGCTTAAATGTCGTCTACTTGCAGTCTTTGCCTAAAGTAAGGAATGCATCGAATAAAGTTATGAACAATTATTTCATTCATATCGTAGACTTTAGTAGGGTGTTCAAGTATTTTATAGAGGATCTGGAAGCCACTGTTAATTCGAAGGTATTAGACAGGTATTTTGACTTGGTTTAAAATTCTTCAGTAATGTTAGTCAATAATAAGATGCACAGTCCAATCTAGGGTTGTGATGTCATACTGTGAAAGTTTAGCTTTTACGTTTTTTAGTGTGTTTCTTTCTTATATCGACAATCTTCGCTTAGTATTGTATTTGGTTTCTTACAAAAATGTCATAGTTTAAATGTAACATATTGAAAAGAAAGGAAAGGTTAGGTGCTTGATGATTTGTTAATCGGTGATCTTAAATAATTAAACAAGATCATAAG